CCAACTCAACCCAACCCAACTCAACCCAACTCAACCCAACTCAACTCAACCCAACCCAACCCAACTCAACCCAACCCAACTCAAAACTCTTATTGCTTTGTACCTCTGACTCATTTTTATACTTGATCCTCATTCTGACCCAATCTCCTTTTTTGTCCACACACGTACCTCAAGTCTCTCTCCCCCACCTCAAAATTCAACTGATTTTTTGTTCTTCCTCACCTAGGCAACAAATATAACCAGCACCGTTTCCAAAACTAAACCTCAAATGGTCCACATTTCTGCGTTGTTCCATTTCTGTTCACCCAGCCCCTATTTGCAAGAGAGAGGATGGCTTTCAACCATCGCTATCTTAATCTTGATGTAATTTGCACTTAACCGTTCTTCTTGGCAAGCTATCCCATAATCTCCTCATAAACATCTCAGCCCCGCTTGTGTTCTGATAAAGAACATAAGCAAGTCATCAGCCGCTAGTAACTTGGACACAGTTTGCACCTCGACAGCTGGCAGGCAGGCGGGGAAAATAGACTGCCATATCAGTCCTAATTGCTGATCGTTTACGTCCAAATGACAGCAAAATGGCTTTCGAGATCCCAGGCCTGCTCCCCACCCAAGCTAATTTTAATCTTCCCTGTGATGCAATGCTTCCTGATCACGAATAAATAATTGGATTTTTTTCCTTTTGCATTCCATAGCTTCATTTATAGACCAGGCCTGCAGCTGGCACAAAGCAAAGAGCTCTCTTTAATTGGGGTTTAGTATTACAGAAGCCAAGGCTTCATGTCGGGTTTGAAACAAGCCATGATTGATCGCAAATCGTAGAACATAGAATAATAGAGTTGGAATAATAGAGTTGGAGGTCTTCTAGTCCAACCTCCTGCTCACGCAGGGCACCCCATACCATTTCAGACAAATGGCTGTCTAGTCTCTTCTTAAAAGCCTCCAGTGTTGGAGTACCTACAACCTCTGGAGGCAAGGAGTTCCACTGGTTGATTGTTCTCACTGTTAGGAAATTTCTCCTCAGTTCTAGGTAGCCTCTCTCCTTGATTACTATCTTTTCCTCCACTCCATAAGCCACCCTCCTTCCTAGCACTGATGGTGTCCCCTAGTTGGGTCATGAAACGCCTGCAAGAGAACCACCCAGTTCAGAGAGCAACGAGGCCTCCCTCACTTAGCTCATTTCAGATGCATTGCTGATGTCAGCCTTAGACACACAACCCAACCTACGTCTTGTTTTTCCCGCTTCTGGTTCTTCCACCTCCTGGAAGAGACGATCAGAAGATAATTGGTTTAACTTCAGAGACGTCTCAGTTATCAGTCTTGGCATCTTTGGTCGGGTGGAGTGCACAAATCGCAAAAAACAAAACAAAACAAAAAAAACCCACAACACAGTGCATCGGCCCCTTGGTGGGTTTTCATGAGGGTCCTTTAATTTAGCTTTGGCCCTTCAGTTTAAGGGTCTGGGCGGCTCTGACCTGTCCTTTTCTGTGGCAGACTTCCCTTATCAAGGACATAACTTCGGGGACAGTGGGAGCCCTTGGCTTCCCCTCCCTCCCTCTCTCCCTCCCTCCCCTCTTTTCCTTTCCTAAGGAGCTTATTGCTGAAGTCATCTTAATGCAAATGGTTGCGGGGGTGGAAAAGAGGGGAAGGCTGGAAGGAAGACATCAATCGAAGCAGATTTGCATGGAGGCACCACGATGGAAGGAGGGGGAAAGGCCCATAATTTTAATTTTTTTTTTTGCAGAACTAGCCAAGAGGGGAAGGATTTGCCCCGTTTTTCCCAGAGAGAAACCATTCTTTAGTTGCAACTTGGCAAGACACAGCTCCTCTTCTAGGCCGTGGTCCCTTCTGACAGCTGCACTGAAAATTAGAAAACATCCCAGCCTCTCCAGAGCATATACAACGAAAAATGAACAGCCACACGGAAGGAAGAAGCTGAACGATAGAAAACAGAGGGAAGGGACAGGGCGGTCCTGATTTGAGACACCCCAAATTGCAGAGAACTCAAGGAGAAGCGACTACGTTCAGAGCGCTAGCCGAAGGTGTTAAAAACAGAGCAGAACAGAATAACTGAGTTGGAAGGGACCTTGGAGGTCTTCTAGTCCAACCCCCCGTTCAAACAGTTTACCCTATACCATTTCTCGAGAAATTTCTCCTTAGTTCCAGGTTGCTTCTCTCCTTGATTCGTTTCCATCCATTGGTTCTTGACTTGCTTTCTGGTGCTTTGGAAAACAAGTTGACCCCCTCATCTTTGTGGCAGCCCCTCAAATATTGGAAGACTTCTATTATGTCCCCCCCCATTCCTTCTTTTCCTTAACCAATTCCTGCAACCGTTCTTCGTATGTTTTAGACTCCAGACCCATAATCCTTGCTCTTTTCTGCACTCTTTCTAGAGTCTCCACGTCTTTTTTACACTGCAGCGAGCAAAAGTGGATGAGCATTCTAAGTGTGGTCTCACCAAAGCTTTATAAAGAGGTACTAACACTCCACATGATCTTGGTTCTGTCCCTCTGTTAATGCGACCTGGGCTTGCGTTGGCTTTTTTGGCTGCTGCCACACACTGCTGCAAAGCATTTTATATTCAGATGTTTGGTCTTCAGAGAGAAGGGGGGGAAAAAACCCATTGTTCCTTTGCATTGGCTGTGATTGCTTCTTTCACATCAAATCCAAAAGCCCACTCATGACTTCTTGGCAGTATGCATCATAAAGAAAGAAGCCATTATCTATTGGAAAGAAGAATGGCCAGCTCGTTCTGCTGAATTCGGCACAGCCACCCCAATTCCCTCTGATCATTAATGCTGAACAGAAGGAATGTTATCGTCTCTTTAAAGTCATCCTGAACTGAGAATGGAGGGGAGGGGTGTAGAATTGGGTCTGTCCCTTTCGGAAAAGCAGAGCAAGCTTGCCTCCACCTCCGAATAACACTAGCGTTGTTCTGACGGAAATACCAGACACTTTGATTGCCAGGAAACTTCCAAGGCATCGCAATTAACACTTCATCCTCAAAGAAAAAGCTTCATTGGTTGAGTTGTGCTGTACAGAAGCTGGAAAACCAGGCCACAATATAAGTGCACAACTACTATACAAAAGGACATCTCCTGTTTAAAAGACCCAACCGATGACCTTGACATGAAACCATTCAAGATAGACTTTGTTCATTTAGTAACCAATCACACTTGCAACAGCACTGAAAAAAGTGATTTGCAGCCGTTTTTCAGACTTACGACCATTGCAGCATTCCCCCGTGGTCAGGTGATCAAAATTCGGACACTTGGCAACTGACTCAGAGTTATGATGGTTGCAGAGTCCAAGGGCCATGTGATCCCCTTTTGCAGCCTTGCTCATCCTCACAAGAAATTATGGAAGTTGTGATAGCACAATGCCCAAAGTTTCAATCTGTGGGGAGAGTGGAGGTTGATTGATCATTGTTTCTCCAGACGGACTACGAGTCCATCGGTTGTGGTGCTTTCAACTATGACCAGCAGTTTCCCAGCTTCGTAAGAAGTTGTAAATCAAGTGCATTTACTATCCTGCTGGGTTGCAGAACCATCCATCACTCTTCCATCTTCCTTCAGAGTTGCTAGGGTCACCAGCATTGATGGTGTTACCTGGTTGGGTAATAAAATGTCTGCAAGAAAATAACCAAGTTCAGAGAACATCAAGGACCTCACAATCCTCCACCTCCTCCTCCTCTCCATAAACCCTTCTAGTAGTGATGGTGTTACATGGTTGGGTAATAAAATGTCTGCAAGAAAACAACCAAGCTCCGAGAGCATCAAAGACCCCACAATCCTCCTCCTCTTCTTCCTCCTCCTCCTCCTCCTCATCCCCCAGTTCCTCTTTGCAAACCCCACTCCCTTCTAGTACTGATGGTGTTATCTAGTTGGATAATCAAACGTCTGCAAGCTCAAAAAGGATGGAGGACCCCAGAAACTACCTCTGTTAGGAAAGGCAGCTGTGCATAATAGAACAGGAGCCAGCTAGAGGAATTTATTCATTTCCTTATCCGTTTATTGATTCATTTATTAGATTTATACCACCACCCAATGTGCTGAACAATTCTAGGTGTTTTTCAATTTGGGGAAACATAAAAGCAAGGAATTAAATGTAGAATAAAAGGGAATACAATGCCGTAAACATTCAGAATGGAGAGAGAGAGAGAGAGAGAGAGAGAGAGAGAGAGAGAGAGAGAGAGAGAGATGAAAGAAAAAGAGAGGACAGAGGACAGAGAGAAAGAGAAAGGGAGAAACAGAGAGAGAGAGAGAGAGAGAGAGAGAGAGAGACAAAGAGAGAGACAGAGACAGAGACAGAGATGAGAGAGAGAGACAGAGAGAGAGAGAACAATTGCTAACAAATAACCAAAATAAGAATTAGAACATAATTAATTGGAGATAATCCAGACATAACAAAATCAAGATCTTTTAATCTACCGAGGACACAGCTCCAAATACACACCCCAAATATAGACCTAGTTTTTTTCCCATTTGCACAGTGTGAATGACAAATGGACATTCAAACACAAATGGTATAGGAGCTCCTGCTTGAGCAGTGGGTTATATTAGAGTACTTACAAGATGGCTTGGTGACTTTGGCCAATCACCAGGAGGTGGTGAGTTCTAGTCGTGCCTTAGGGCCATCTGGGTGACTTTGAGCCAGTCACCCCTCCCCCTGTCTTGGGAACCACGAATGGAGCTGGAGTCAACCATGTGTTGCTGCTGCTGTGGTATGGGATGGAATTTTAGAGGGTCTCATGTGCATTTGTACTACTTGTAATCCACTGGGAATCACCTGTTAGAGTTTTATAATGAGTCATATACATTTGTTTAATGGATAAACACAGGGATTCAGTCCAGTTCTGTTGAGCTTTTTGAGGTCATGCAAGATTGAACCTAGAACCTAGAACCACAGGACTAGAAGGACTGGATTGGGTTTCTCCATGGGACATCATGGTGGGCTTCAGAAATGACCTCTCCACCTCTCCACCTTCTGTCTGATCCTAGAGGGTGAACTGTAGCTACATCCTCTGCACCGTCCTCCTCTCCGTGGTGATCCTCTTAGCTGTCACCGTTACCGCCGCCATCCTCTTCATGAACCACTACCACACCCCGGTCACCGAATCCCCGCCCATCATCACCACCAATCCAGACGACGCCAACGCTTTGGTCACCATTGAGAAAGCTGACACTTCCCGCATCAACATCTTCATTGACCCGAACTGTCCGAGCCAAGCCAACAGCTTCGTCCGCTTGGAGAGCCTGCAAACGTCCCTCCTGCGAGTCGTGACGGACCACGAGGCTGAGACCAAGTCCTCCACGGGGCAGGATCGGGCCTTGCTGGTGGGCCTCTCGGACGAGGTCTCCAAGCTGCTCTCTCACACCACCCAGCTCCGGACGGACTGTGAGAATTTGAAGAAGGGCCATGGCGCCCTCGGGCAGGAGCTGAGCGCCCTCCAGAACGAGCAAGGGCGCCTCATACAGGTGAGTCCAAGATGCAACATGCTCAGAGGTGAGACTTGCTTGAAGGGCTCGAACCAAGAACAGCAGCTTCAAACCATCTTTAAACAGTCTTGGTCAGAGCCCTGGATATTTGGAAGAGGTTCCCATTTTATGGCAATTTTTCCAGACAAGATTAAAGACCCGACGCAATTTAAAGTGCTAATTAATCTTTTGCCAAGTCGTGTGATTTTCAAGGGCAATATTCAATTCTGAATTGCAGATATTTTTTTTTTTAAATGAAATGCAAAGTGCCTACTTTAGCTTCTTGCAATTGTAAGCTGGCCTTTTCGAGAGCACAACTGTGGTGTGTACATAATGGGGTATGTTTCCTTTTTTTAATTTTGTGAAGCCGTTTGCAAATCTGGCTAAGGCTGACTCTCAGGTGGCCTTGCATGCAAATCTGCAAAGCTACATCAACTGGTTATTACAGAATTCCAGAATCTTACCTCACTCGGTCTTCTTTTCACTGGAAATTGGGTAATTTTTGAAAACAGCAGGCGCAGGACCCAACAGGGCAGCTGAGATTGTTCCTTTTTTGATATATAACCAAGCTTTCTTTACCACAACAATTTCCTTTCTCCTTAACTGTGTTGCAGCATTTTTTTTAGAAGCAGGATGCAAAGTCTAGGAGAGAAAGATAAAAGAAGCACAGCCAGCCCTCAGCCTCAACAGCTTTTCAAAAATGCAAAATTGTGGCTGAGGAAATTGGGTGGGGGATGTCTTCCAATTTCTCTCAGAAGCGGGATAAGTTCTCCAACTGATTTTTCAAGAATGGAAAACCGAGTTAGGCTGTTGTGGGTAGGATGCTCACATCCATGGAAATTTTATAGCTACATGAAAATCACTTGCTGTTACCTTCTCTGATGTTTCTTCGAATGAGGGTTTCCCAGTGGTCTCCTTTCCAATTGATAAGCAGGCTGGATCCTACTTAGCTCTGAGCCTCACAACAGGAAGTGAATGGCTTGTTTTGTGGCTAAGAAAATTCCGCAGACAGAATTCTACCAAGCCACCAAAAATTGAAATGGAAGGAGATGGATATAAAACTTTTTTCCCCCCACATCAGGTAGTCTTTGATTTATGACCAGGCATTTAATGACAAAAAAAAATGGGGCAAAATGGGGCAAAACACATTTAACAATTGCCTCGCTTAGCAACAGAAATTGTGGGCTCAGCTGTGGTTGTAAGTCATGGGGAAACAATTAAACTAAACTAAACTAAACTAAACCCCAAAAGGAAATGAAAACCACAGTAAAATTGTGCCACGTGAAGTTTGAGGATTCTGTGATTTGCAAAAATTTGGGAAGTTTTCTCTGAGACCTAGTGTGACAGAAGGGGAAATAATTAACTGCGAGATTGGAAAGTCATTGTGGGCCCTGTATTGGTTTTTAATTAAAAATAACTGTCCATAAAAGAAAAATTAATATAGATTTGTCAGGGTTCCACGTGTTCCTTTATAGATGGACCTCCTCTTTCCTTCCCAAGCTATTTTTGACAGCTGAGGGGGAGAAAAGGGGGTTATAAGCCCTGATCCCAAAGAACAGGAGACAGGATAAATTAAATGCTGGCTTGTATTTTTAGTCCACATTAATTATTATTTAACAGTCTCCCTCTATGCTTTATCTATTCCACTCTTTCTCCGGGGAGATGCAGTATGCTTATTTTTGCCCCATTTTTTAAATGTCTGTGGAGATTCCCTGTCATCCAGGTCAGGGTTATCCCAAAGATGCTTTTTCAAGAGGCAACTGCACTTTTTTTGCTTTTTCTTGGTCACTAAATGAACTGTTGTAAGTTGAGGACTTCCTGTACTTAATAACAGCCAACATTCTTCAGATTTTACCTGTTTCTGGGACATCTAGAACTTAAACCTGAGACTCCTTTTTTTGGTACAAACATAAGCCGATGCTTGGACTTAAATGTTACAGCAATCCTGAATATTCAATCATAGATTTCACGTACGTTGCTCAAATACATTTTGGGAAATTTTCATTGGCCCCTGAAAGACAAAGAAAACAATATATTTTTTTCCCTAATTTGCAAATTTGGACATTTCGTGCTTGTTTGGAGTTTTGCTTTGTGCACTGATGTCGATTTTCAATCAAATCTTAGAAGGCTGAAATATTCCCCAGCAACTTTCTGACTGTTGCTCTTTTAAAGCCGTTTATGCTTCTGAGCAGAAATCAAAATAATTTATCTTTTGCAAAAAAGAGACCATAGTCTCTGGCAGGGCTCATATACTTCTGGCAAGCATGATTCACCAAAATTGTGATAAATACCTGCCTGCTGTATTTGACAATCGAGAGCATCTTTGCTTCCTAGCCGGCAGGGGTCTGGAATCAAAAATATTGCTTACACCGGCTGGTGAACTATAAAAACCACCCGCCTTCAAAATCAAAAGTTTAATGCAAAGGTCAGATCAATACATTGACCGAATTAAGACATTGATGGAAATGACCCCTAGTTTTTCAATTGTGGGGTGCAGCCTGTAGAAGAAACTAGCAATTTTCTGAGTGAAGGGGTCACGTTTGAGCTTTCAAATAAACTGGGAGGGGGGAATCATTATTTATTATATTTGGATTTATGCTTTTTTACGCAGCTGCTTTCCGAAAGCCAGACCCACATCGCGCGGCTGGTGAACTCCGTCAGCGACATTCTGGACACGCTGCAAAAGGAGCGCAGCCTCGCCCGGCCACGGATGAAGGCGGACCTCCAGCGGATCCCGTCTCGGGGCCCACGGCCCAAAGGATGTCCGAACGGTGGGTCATCTCGCCCCTTCTCCTTCTTGAGCAAGCAGCACAGGGGGTCCTTGAGTTATGGGCCACAACTGAGCCCAACATCTCCATCGGTAACCAGACCGTTGCTCAGAAACAAAATCAAAAACCTTCCACCTTCCTGGCATAGGTCCACGGTTAGCCAGGAGGACCGAAATACATGTTTTTGTGGTTTGGCAAAGCTGAGGGGGAAATCTCTTTCCCTGTCCTCCATCAAGTCTGAGCTCTCAACCATTTGACCCACCAACGGAGCCTTCAAAGTTCCTCCAGGGTCTGGAAACCAGGGGAAGAAAAGGCAATTTAGCCATAAACAATTAGAACTCAGTGAAGCTCTAATTAGGCTATTAATTAACCTTCCTGCTTGCTTCGTTTCCTCCATGCTTCTGACCAAATTATCCTTTTATTCCATATCTTGCTACAGGCTCGAGGCCTCGGGATTGCTTTGACGTCTATGCCGGTGGACAACAAGGGGACGGGGTCTTCTCCATCTTCCCCACTCACTACCCGGAGGGGTTCCAGGTTTATTGTGACATGACCACAGATGGTGGAGGATGGACAGTAAGGGGGGGGGGTCATTGTTTCTTTGGGAGGGTCTCTTCTCCCCCCCCCGAGTCGAAACCCCTTGACCTTCCCTCAAGGTGGAAACCAAACAGGGGACAAGCAAAGGAGGAGAAGGCTGGGTGGGACCTTAGAAGGGAATCAGGCAGGCGGGGGGGGGTGTTCTTTTTTGAGGGAGGGGCAAGGAAATTTGGTCTTTGTGTTGTCTTGGACAGCAAGCAAAGGGAGGGGTGGGTTGCAATGAGCTGGGAGGCAGAATTTGAAGATGTAAAGGATGTAAAAAATGGGCTTTTTTTTTTTCCTATGAACCTATTGCTCTTTGATTCTCGCAAATCTCTTGTTCTTCAGGATGGGTAAATGGCACGTTTATGAGAACTTTCTTTCTTTCCCTCCTCTAACTTCCTTCCTCCTTTCCCATTTTCTTTCTTTCTTCTCCTCTTTTTTGGGGTTTTTCCCTTCCTCCATCCTGCTCTCTCTCTCTCTCTCTCTCTCTCTCTCTCTCTCTCTCTCTCTCTCTCTCCCTTCTTTCCTCCATTCATTTCTTTCTTTCTTTCTTTTTTCTTCTGCTTTCCTCCCTTCCTTTTCTCTTTTTCTCTTTCTTTTTCTGTCTTCTTCCATCTCATTTCCTTCCCTCCCTCCCTTCCTCCTTCCTTCCTTCCCACTCTTTTCTCTCCTTCCTTCCTTCTTTCCTTCCTTCCTTCCTCCCTCCCTCCTTCCCTTCGCTTCCCTTCCTTCTGGCAGACATTCAATCTTCTGGCACACTTGGGAGAATTAAATCTCCTTTTTTACCCTCTCCCCAAAGTCTATCATAATGTTAAAAAAGAAATGGTAATTGCTACCATGACCACATTTGATTATATTGGGGGAGGGGGGAGTTCCTAAAAAAAAAAAAAAAAAACAACGCAAGCATAAAGCGAAACTCCATTGGCTTCATCATGCGGGTGTAAAATAAACTAATTTCCAGAGAACAGCAGATGGGAAATAAATCTATACAAGTGTAAATGTGAAAGATTGCAATAATGTCAACTTTATTATTAATAGATGTGGCTGCATGGGCCATTTGCAGTATAGAAAAGTAGTTGTTTGATATGCCAGTAGAGTTAGATGCTCTGTGGGTGCAGTTGAATTGATACACTACAATCAACATAATGAGTCTGGGTTTGTTTTAGCTTAGAATGTTAAGTGCTTAATAAAGAACAGTTTAAATCTCTGTTTTGCAAACCTGGCGACTTTAGGATCTGCGGACTTCAACTCCCAGAATTCCCATGCTGGCTGAGGAATTCTGGCAGCTGGTCCTCACATTCTAAACTCACCAAGTTTGATAAACCCTTGCGTAAATGCGATCTCAGCCCCAGAGTTTGCTGCTCACCTCAGTTTGTCTCCCTTGTTGAGCTCACTTTGAACGGGACAAATATGTGCATTAAATCGTGGTTTTCTTCAGCTCCCTACTTACATACACGTTACTGAATTTTAAAACTAGGGATGCAAGGATTAGAAATTCAGAGAAATAGCCTCTGTCTGCCAAACACAATTATCTTTTGGGGGATGCTCCAGACACAGCAATTCAAAGCCCTTCATAGAGCAATAAACTCCAGGGTTTGGGTGTATGCAGGGAGTCCCCGAATTACAACAGTTCATTTAGTGACCTTCGAAGTGACAACGGCACTGAAAAAGTGACATAGGGGAGTTTTTCAGACTTATGACCGTTGTAACCTCCTCGTGGTCACGTGGCCAAAATCCAGACACTTAGCGGCTGACTCCTATTTATGACGGTCGCAGTGTCCCTTTTGGCAACCTTCTGACAAGCAAAGTCAATGGGGAAGCCAGATTGACTTAACAACTGTGTTGTTAACCAACCACCATCATTATTCAGTGAACATCCAACTCTTCTTAAACATCTTATTTTATTTTAAATGGCAAGACTGAGCCTTCCAAAGCATTAATTCAGTAATACATAAATAAATAAATCTGCAGGCTGATATAGGGAAGTAGCTGTGCCGTCTAACTGTCTTAATTTATAATGGGCAGAGATAAACAGAAGCAGAGGCTGTGGACGGAAGATAATCTGCCTAAATTAAAAGCCGGACTTCGCTGAAGAAGACTTACTTTGAAATGGTCTTGGCAGAAAGCAAAAGCGGCCCCCACCGAGTAGCACAATTGCAATGAAGAAGACAAATCTTCCATTGCCCTCGGAGACTCTTGCGGTGCTTAAAGCGCAGCCACGGCGGCTGAGGGAAAAAAGAAAACAAAATCAAAATCAGTTTCTTATGCCCTGTTGGGCTGTCTGGATTTAAGACTGGATGAAGGGGTGGGATGTTAATTGATGTCTCTTTGGTTACATCCAATCCATCAACCTTTTGACTTGCTGGATTCTGATGTCCCTATTTTATTTTTTCCTGGAAAGAAATCTCACCCTAATGTTGTTGTTGGGAATTTGAGGATCATAGAAACCACCTTCCTTCCTTCCTTCCTTCCTTCCTTCCTTCCTTCCTTCCTTCCTTCCTTCCTTCCTTCCTTCCTTCCTTCCTTCCCTCCCTCCCTCCCTCCCTCCCTCCCTCCCTCCCTCCCTCCCTCCTTCCTTCCTTCCTTCCTTCCTTCCTTCCTTCCTTCCTTCCTTCCTTCCTCATTGTGCTTTTCAAAGGGAAGCTGAAATGTTAGGAGCAGTTAAGGCTATTTTTGGCAAATAACTCCTCCTTGTTAATCTTGCCTAAATCTGGGAGTTAACGGACTGTTGTAAGTCGAGGACTACCTGTACTTATTCTTTGGGATCCCCCATGAATTTTCCACCTGTTTCTTTAAATAAATCCGCATAAAGAAAGAAAGAAGTCACCGATGTTTATAGGTGTAAATTACTGGCTTTCCAGTTCTTTCACCTCCATTTTTTTTTAACAAAAAAGTGTCATTAGAAGGTAGTTTAAAACACACCTACCTGCCTCTAGATACCTTCCCATGTCACTTCGTTAAAATTCCCCCATTTCTCTCCCTCCCCCCAACAATTACAGTTAAATGAAAATTGGGTTGTGCGAAGGGAGGAATTGATTTTAAAAACTCATGACCTTTTTCCTCGGCAACATCCCAGCCCCGTCCTAATTTGTTAATTAATCTTTTCTGACAAGTTTGTGGTTGGCACGAACAGGCCTTTGTGCGGCTTTTGGAAAAGGGAAAAGTTTTCGGAGCTGCCACCCACCCACCCACCCTTGGGAGCAGCTCAGTATTATAAAGAAAGCTGGAATAAATTAAATGATGGATGTATCGATAATTTATGCATGCAACCGAACAAATCTTGCCGTTTTTTCTACTGGCTCTCATTTTGACTTGCCTTGCAAAGTTTCTTTCAAGGAGGGAGAGAACTTCGCTTAAAATTGTTCTAGTTTTTGAAGTTCTTTAGACATCGGTGTTGTCTGAACTGGGGAATAATCAGAAACACAGAACTTAGAAGGGGATCCTTGGTGATCTCTGAGCTTACTTGTTTTCTTGCAGACATTTCATTACCCAAACTAGGTAACGTCATCAATGCTGGTGATGATGTTATCTAGTTTCGGTAATGAAACATCTGCATGAAAACCACCAAGCTCAGAAAGCACCAAGGAGCCCTCATTTCAACCCTGAGCTACAAATATTTTCCCTTATTGGTACACGGAGCATAGAACAGTAGAGTTGGAAGGGACCTTGGAGGTCTTCTAGACCAACCTTCTGTTTGAGGATTCCAGACAAATGTCTGCCCAATCTCTTCTTGAGAACCTCCATTGATGGAGCATCCACAACTTCTGGAGACAAGTTTAATTGTTGTGCCAGGAAATTTCTCCCTATTTCTAGGTGGGATTTCTTTTTGATAAGCTTCCATCTGTTCCTTCTATCATCTCCCTCCATCTCTCCATCCATCCATCTTCCAGCTGTACTTCTTGACAAGCGCCGTGGAAATCAGGAGAGTTCAAATGAGTATAAGGACTTATTGCAAGCTTAAGCTCTCTAGAAGAATCTGACCAACTAGCGGTCAAGGGAAATGAGCAGGAGATAAGAAGGCATTCGAAATGGGCTGAAGTTAGATCTCTTGCGGGTGTGCCGGGACCCGTGACTTATGACGTATTTGATTCCTCCTTCGGGCTCAGCCTGGTCATCTCCTACACTGCCTTCAGGTGCTTTGGAGAATAGGCTGACCCCCTTCTTCTTTGTGGCAGTCCTTCAAATATTGGAAGACTGTTACTATGTCACCCCTAGTCCTTCTCTTCATTAGAATAGACATACTCCTCATCAATCGCCAAGGGAGACTCCCTGTGACTTTATTATTTTTTTCCTTTCTTGGTGGGGAACTTATACACAAAAAGGAGCTCCCCCCAGCTCTGTTCCAGCCCCTTCTTCATCTCTTGATTGCAACTATTGGTCAAGAACACAAACCCCATCAGGACAATTTGTCTGAAGACCGAATCTTAGCTTGCTAGTCAAAAGCAGACGGGGAAGTATGGAACCTCGTTCATTTCATTTCCCCTGCAGCCGTGGTTATTTTTTTTCAATCAACACGTTAGCTACGTGGTGCAGCCACCAAAGCCTCTGGGTGCAGATTCGCAGCAGATTGTCAAATTAAATCGTTTACACCCTTTGCTTGACATTTCCCTGCAAATTGGCGAATGAGAAGGGTTGCAGAAAATCAATTCGGCCATTCGGTTTGTGGATGATTCAAGTATCATGCAGAGCCACGGAAAAAGGGTGATAGAGCAAGCCAGGTTAAATGGGGCCAGACAACACTCAGGAAGGAATTACAACAAAAAACAATTAATATATGCAAAACATTGAGGCGTGATAAGGAACTCTAGCAGAATAATCTTGTTCCTGATGTCAGCCTTTCCAGGTAGAACTGGAAACAGGTGGACAGGAAACATGACAGACATGCTAATTCTACTTTATTGTGAAGCTACATTAATAGAATTTTACATGTCTGAAAGTTCATATCTCCCGCTCTTTCCTTTACAGCCTGAGGAATTAGGGAGGGGTCTTTTTGAATC